CCTGCCGCATCCCTGGAAGTGCTGAAGGCCAGGTTGGATGGGGCTTGGAGCAACCTGATCTGGTGGAAGGTGTCCCTGCCCATGGCAGGCGAGTTGGAACTGGGGGGGCTTTAAGGTCCCTTCCAACCCAAACCGTTCTATGATTCTATAAGTCAGTGCCATAATTACAAGATTTTGAGAGACCTTCAGCCCTGGGCAGTTCAGCTACATGGTACCTGCTAATGACATCCAGGGGCAGCACACAGAGACAATTTCAGCCTCTTAAAAAACCAAAAAACAACCAAAAACCTATGGAAGTTTAAGGGCATTATGAGCTTTCTCTAGAGTTACCTGCTTGTCTACAGAATCAGATACTGCAGTTCGCTGAGGAAAATAAAAGCACTGGCCACCAGTACTGGAAATGAAGAGGCTCTCTCCCGTGATTGGCCTGACCCTACTTCACTATTCAGTCACAGGCTTCACAGAGCACCACTAGAAACTCAATCTTGAAGCTGTTTTTTTCACAGAACAAAGGAAACCCTGGGATCCTGAGCAGCATCTTGTTTCAAATGGAGTTTGTCCAAAGGGAAAGCAAATGCTGTGGCATGAGCTAGACCTTTCATTGCAGTTATAGTTTTATACTTACCTCCTGACAGGATTCAATAAACTCGTCTAAAGTTACAACACCATCTTTGTTTTTATCCATTTTCTGCAAAATAAAATTAAAAAAAAAAATTTGTTTCCATAGGTAACACTGCAGTGTTAGTGTATCATCTTAGTTGATACAATCTGAGTAAACATAGGGCACTTTATAAGCTTAGATTACACACTCAGTGTCATTGGTTAAATTTGCCGACTGCTAAGGACTGACTTACTCCGGTATTTGTAGCTCTTCTGAGGTCATCTCCAACTATTCCTTCCCCGACATACACAGCAACCCCTGTCTTTATTACATCATTTATTTATTCACTGCCTCACCAACTGGCACCCATATTCCTGTCTCTCATTATGGGCAGTTGAGCAAAGAAGCACAGATGGACTGCAACACATGCAGAGGCTTCTGCCTTGCTGGATGTGGCACATCCCAATGAAAAGGGTAGGGCTAAGAGACAAATGAGATACCTTTGGAGCCAGGAAATCAGCAGACACTGTAGTGTTAGGCTAATGGCTGCTAGGGTTTATTTTAGAATATATAGTGAGGTATAGCATTGAACTTGCGTCTAACTTTACTGTAAAGTATATCAGTGCATAGCTCAAGGGTTAAGAAAAACACACCAAAAAATCAAGTACCTGGAAGAATACTTCTACATGCTGCCTTGGCGCATCTTCCTTGAGCACTGGATATGTGTACTTTCCCATCATATCATAAATTGCCTTTACGATATCCATCATTTCCTGCAGTAGTGGCATGCCAGCACAAACACAAAAGGGAAATGAACAGAAATGATAGCGCATTTCTTTCTTTTACTGCCCTTTTCTTCACCCCCCTCCTAGTACAAAACAGCACAGAGAACGCCTATACATGTGCATGAAGACAGATGTATCGTCATGTAGAAGTCAATCTATAAAAACCAAGCGCTTCTTTCTGACTATGCCACGACTTTGCCACAGCCACGTTGGAGGCTCCTGCACTGCTCGCCTCCCTCCTCTGGTCAGGGAGGATGTGTGCTCCAACATGGCAGCTGCTGGGGATGGTGCTGGGCTGTAAATGGCATGCTTGGTCCTGAGCACTGCAGCACTGACCTCGTCCCAGAGCCTCCTCTGGGGCCAGGGACATTCACAGCAGTCACTGGGAACCCGACCCTTCTCCACACCTTGCACAAACTGCAATACAAGTTCATGACCAGTAGCAGTAACTGCAAACCCTCCCGCTACACAGTAATTTTGAGAAGATAGACCAAGATGTATTTGCAAAATGTTGAAGGTTACCATGCTCAAAACCAAGGCTTCCCGTAAAGGGAACAGGCAATACCAGGTAAGATAAACACAGAAAATAATGCAGGATTTGGGAGTGGTGGTGTGGGCTTCTAGTGCTTCGGGTGAGCCCACACCAGACTTCCCAGTGCAGCCAGAAACCCCTTGCGCCTCAGTCACTGAGCAGCTATTGTCACCATCACCCTTCCGTTCGCAAAGGTTGTGCTGCTCATAGCTGTAACTAGGATTTTGCTCCTGGCTAAAGCAATCCATTAAAGACACTATAATACAGGAAAATATGTCTACAAAATCATGCAATATAAGATCACTGTGCACTTTACTTAGACACAGACAAATGCTCAAGTCCAGTTTGATTTGCATTTAATTACCTACATGTAAAATTAATTGTGCTCCGCAACAGAAACCAGTTGGCTTTCTTCAGAAATCAACTACATTTGTCAGAAACAGCCTTACCTCCTTGTTTATATAGCCATCCTTATTTATGTCGTACAGATTAAACGTCCATCTTAGCTTTTCATGAACAGTTCCTCGCAACAGAATGGACAATGCCATCACAAAATCCTGGTTCAGAGCAGAGAGAGAAGCGTGAATTTTCCTAACATCCTTTTCTAAGTCACCTTCCTTATATAATGCCAGTCAAAAGACTTCCCTTTTTAAGATAGAGCATACGGTTATCAGTCTCTTCTGACTCCCTTCTCCAAAAACGTGTCCTCTCTCACTGAACTGAATGGACGCAGCATCCACTAAGATGATCTGAGTACTGTCACACTAATAAATGTGTGTGAAGTAACCAGGAAAATCAGAAAAGTCCTCAACTGCAGCCAATGTAAAAGCCAAGTTTATGATATGGGGTAGGCAGCTTAGCGAGGCTGGACGGGCAGGAAGACCTAACGAGCGCTGCAGCCTTCAACTCTCCTAGTCCTGAGGTGAGGTTGTGAAAACAGCATGGGATTAAGATCAGATCCAGTTCAAGACAGGCAGATTTAGATCCTAAAGTCAATAGGACAGTGGCTGCTCTGGCTCCTCAGACTTGCCAGAAGCAGCACAGCACGCTCAAGGCCAGAAGCTGGGACACCTTCCTTGCTACCCATCCAAATTTATCATGCTCTAAACTAAATACTCCACTAAGGTAAGCATGGTAAAATACACATCTGGTTTTTAAGAGCACTGCCAGATGCTCCAGTGGCCATTCCCCTCCTAGAAATGGTCTGCTGCAAGGAGTCATCACTCGGATTGCCACCGCCTGGTTAAACACAGCTGGACTCTAACTGTGAAAGCAGAAGCCTATGCTTTCTTACCTCCAGATCTAGGGTGCTAGCAAAGAAGGGAGAAAAATCCAGCATTTTTCTTGTGCCCACCTTGAGAGAGATTGAGAGATCCCAAACTCCTCTAACACAGGGAGCCTCAGGTTTTGTTCTCTGGCAAAATCTGTCAGACTTGACCAGGTGCAATTCCCACCACTAGTTACTCAGTCTGGGACACAGCATTTTAATTGTATTTTTTGTTTACAGTAAAGTAACTGCTTCCAATAACTTTGATTTATTGTTTATACTGTACCATGGCTCAGGCACTGAGTAGCATCACTACAGGGATTTATTAGTACAGGCAGAGCTTCAAGCTAACAGAGCTATACAGTTCCTGATACCTTATTTAATGTAGTTATTCCTTCCTATGTTATGTCCGTTAGCTCTGCATGGGGCAGTGCATCACTTCTTAGAAACCTTTGCTCCTTTTTCCCAAGGCTCAGAGGAATTTGAATTTGCTGAACAATACAAAAAAGGGGACAAAATGCTTATGTTTGACAAGCACTAAAGAAACAGGTTTGCCAGGAAGGAAAGCTCAGCACTATTTTTTTTATTTTTTTTTTTTAAAGTACTTATCTAAGCATTTTCCTGTGTCTCAGTCTGTTTAGGTTTCTGGAAGCCTCTAACTACTGAGTAGCCGCCAAATGCAAAAATCCCACTGTAGCCATCACTACAGAGACACGCATATCCATACTGTAATGTTCCTATTTTACACTCGATAAATGAACAATTTCCTCAGTCTTAACTGGAAATCACCAGAGTTCTTGGCCATTTGACGGCAAAGGCAAGACTGTCTATGATTTCCAGTTTTATGATAACAGTAAACTCTCTTCAGAACTCTGAAGTTCATCCTCCACAAGCCTATGACTTAACATATCCTTTTGCTACACTCCTACAACTATGTGCATGAGCTTGAAGTATGACTATTTGTAGGCACAGCAACAGGTCTTTTAGTTAAAGGGTGGATTTAGTTTCCAAGTACCTGAGATGCTTGTTCAATATATCAAATAAGCTTAAAAAGACTCCATATTCCAGGAACATACGAATAACAATTCGATCCTGCAGTGCATGATGACCGCAGAAGGTACAAGATGTACTGGCTTTTCTTTGACATCCAAATTATCTGTGCCCCTCTTTTCATATGGGACTATCCTCGACCACTACTCTCTGCTACATAACCCTCTGCACTTTCTCCCTGTGATGCTGACTAACATGATCTATATGTTTCTTTAGTGAAAGGAAACAGGCAACTCCATCTGCATAAAGTAAACCAGATTTTAAAATATCAACTGATTTTAGACTGAAACCTCTAACCATAGTCCAACAAGTCCTACTAGTTTACAATAAAGAATGGATAGAAAAGCTTAAAACTGAGAAAGGGGCATTAAAGGAGGATGCAAAACAATTACCTCAAACTTCACTGAGCCATTTTGTGCAGTGTCAAATGCGTTAAAGAGATAATGTGCATACATGCTAGCATCTGAAAAACACAAAGGGCACCAATTGGTATAACAGTTCATTATACACTAATGACTCTAAACAACATTCATTTTCCTTATTTTCCTTTTTTATAAAAACCAACCTTGTAGCATTGCCACATATTCTATGAACCAGTAAACGTTAACATGGATTTGCATAATCCCCACACCCTCCCTTAAAACAGCCTTGAAATGTAAAAGCTTTCATTGCAGTATAAACGATTTGGATTACGGGGTTGTACTTGAAAGAATGAGCAAAAATAAAAAACACCATCCAAGAGCGCATCTGGGCCAAGTGGAGCATTAGCTCTGGTGGGAAGCGCAGCAGAAGCACTGAAGAGCGATTGCAGCAAGTGTGCTTCCTCCCTCTACCTTTTTGCTTTGTGTGAGATACAGCAGAGATCCTCAGGGACTGTCCAACTTCAGAAGGGTCTAGTTTCAGTAACCTGGGTTTGGCCCATGACTGTTAAAGAGCAATCTCATCTGAGGCATATTTTCATCCTTTGGAATCTTAAACTGCTGGTTTTAGAAAATATTTTCTATTGAGAAGGACAGTTTCTATGGCCACATCAAGGATGGCTGTTAACTGGGAAAAACAGTAATGGTACACAGAAAAAAAAAAAATCAAATAGGCGTATGACCTTAAGACCTTCATTGACCTGTTCTCTGCTTTGGAGGCAATTCACAGTGCTCTCTGTGTTACTACAGCCCAACTTCTCAAGATGGAAGCAAGTGACATTACATCCCCTTATTTATTTCATTGCTATTCTAGCAGCCACAGGCTTTTTCGTCTCTTCTATTCTTTACCTCAAGTACACAGCGTTAGTCAAGCCTGAGTCTTCATACTCAATGTATGGGTGTTCAGGTGAAGCCTGGTACCCTGTGCTACACAGGCAGTCAGGTGGAACGACCCAGCATCTCTTTATTCTGATCTCTATGAAATGATTAAATATTTTCACATTATTCAAATTCAGGAAAGTGTAACAGTGTGCAGAAAAATCAAATACTTCAGTTACTGTCATCCATAAGGATAGAGTACAGTGGACTGTAGGAAAAAAAAATACTGGTCTACTACATTTTTAAGACAAGGACTCTGAAACAAAATAGCTCCAGAAGAAAACCATCAAATTACTTATGGGACAGTACTACTAAAAGTTCCTATTAAGATAAACTAAACAATGAAGTAAAAATATTAAACTAGAGGTCTTATTTCAATAGGGTATGAGGCACATTAAGAAATACTAGATCACTGGTATCGTTTGATGCCAGATTAGCAAAAATGAAAACCTGTTAAGGATAGGAGCCCTATGTAACAAAGACATCACAAGCTTGAGATGACACCGCACAAAGTTTTTATAATTCAGAGCTACTTTGCTGCCTCTGGGATGTACAAGTTTATCTGTACAGAGAGCCATAAAAGTGAAAAAATCTCTGAGGAATCTGAAATCTCACGATTTATGATGCTACGCTTACACAAACAGTTTGGAAATCGAGTGAAAGAAAACAGCGTAAAATACAAAATCACATCTGCTGTTTTTATTATTAAGCATGGTTGTACCACCATCATCATTAACCAAGGGAGAATCACCTTTCAAGGGAATGGGACACAAAAAAAAGGCAAGTCTTTGTCAACTTCAGTAGCAGGAAAACCGTTATCTATCCATGAAAAGAAGTTTCTGTGCCTGATTGTTTTTCACAAAGGGGAAGGAAGGAGTCACCTGAGATGTGCCACTTAAAGGAGTTAGTTGGGGTAACTGGAGTTCCTTGGACTTACTGGAACTTAGGTTGAAAACACAAAACACATCCAGAAATACATTAAGATTATATAAACTTAAATTTTTGCATATTTGCTAAAACACATAAATTGACTGGTTGCTTTTCATAACAAAACCAAAAGCAACCACAATAGGAAATCATCAAGTCCATGCTGAAATACAGTGTAAACTTTCTATATGTGTAAATCTTTGAGGTCATATACACGTTATGCTTTATCTTGACATTCAGTTGAAAATTCACTTGTTAATAACCTCCTTGAAGAAAATGCACACGTACGCTTTTGCAGAAACTTCAGTCATCGTTCCACAATGAGTGCATTCTGCAGCTACTACAGAGTGGAATATATTCCGAGGGCCTCAAATCTTTTACTAAAAAGCCACTTAAACCCATGACTCATTTCTTTCAATTTGAGAACAGTATCCCCACAGAATATACCCAGTTAGAAGAACATACAGATTCTTTATGTTTTTAAAAGGCAAGAAAATACATTATTTGAGAGGTTTAATACAATATTTTAATAATCCAATACATGACATGACCCTGTCTTAATCACACAAACACCAAAAATGATCATTTCAGGTAGCTACGAGTTCACACATCAACTAAGAACTGCTTTAAGAATTTTAGGGAGGTTTTAATTAATTTGCAGGCCAAAATGAGGTCTGGGACTGTTCTGTGCTAGATACTACACGCACAGTCCAACAGCCAGGAAGCAAAGACATGCTGAGGGTAAGTGCCAGCCAGAAAGTCAGCACAAAAAAACCCATCCATCACCAGTTTCTATTTTGGACCTGGGGAATAAAGAGCTGAAACTAGGGGCAATCTTTAATGTGGGTTTGCCTATATTCTTGTGAAATAACTGTTCAAAGGGCCTAACTTAATTTTATTACCTTGATGTTTACGTTTCTGTTTAAGATGCTGCAACGCTTAAGCTCAATTCACATCTCTTGCACAGATTATCTGAAGTACTTTTGCAGCCAGCTGGCAGCAACGAATGTGAAGGCATACTTCAATAAACCTGACAGACGCAAAGTACTCTGCTTACCTCCATGAGGAAAAAACTGTGCATAGATCTGTTTGAATGTTTCTTCATTAACAACACCGCTAGGACATTCCTGTTGGAAAACCAAAAAAGAAAGAGGAAAAAAAAAAAATCAAGAAAAAACCCAGCTCTGTAAAGGTTCATTTGCAAAACTCTACAAGCCTGAAGAGAGCAATTAAACAAATCACATTCCTGTTCTCACAGTGCTCTGGATGCATAGGCTGCGCAGCTGAAGAAATTAAAATAATTCAGACTGCAATTTCATCTTAAGCATCTCATAGACTTGGTTCACCATTATTAACATTTCTAACTGTTTTTAGCAGAGTTTAATTGCTGTTTTATAGGACAACCTAGAAAGGCAGTTCACGTCTTCTGTCATATGAAGCTTTCATCTAATAATTACAAATAACGTTAGTGCCAACTAACACTTCCCTGTTGGATGCCTCCATGTATATGAATTCATTAATCCTCAGTAGAAGAGGAGCCAGAGTAGCCAGATACCTGACACCAGCTCCATGGAGGCTAACGGTACATACTACACTAGTAAGTCCTTACAAACAAGCATTAGTATTACACTGAAAAAGATTAGATGACTTTTAATCTGTTTATCTGCTCAGTCTTCCGTAAACTTCTGAGAAGTCAGACTGTGCCCATGAAAATTTTCTAACCTGGCAACCTGTGGGGTTATTTTATTTTTAAGCTCTGGTACTTGAATGTAAGGCAGTTCACTTCACTTTTGGCCGCTTCGAATAAGGGCAAACACTTAGGAAAAAGGTGGCAGATTTTCTGCCCTAAACTTCCTGACCTACTAACTAACTAGCCCCACGGGGCAGCATTCAGGAAGGGAAAAGGGGATCCTCGCCTGGAGGGCCCGCACTTTCTTTGCTACAGCCAAGCAAAATCCAAGCCGTTATGGTAGTCTGGAGCAGGAGGTACCCCCTGGGCACGTTTACAGAGTCTGGACAACACCGGTGAAAAGGGAGACACGGCAGGTATGAGGAGCTGGGCCCCCAGGGGCTTTACCCTCTGAACTAAGGTCCTCAGATCTTACCCAGCAGGATACAGGACCAAAGGCAAAGTCTCCATTTTGTGAAACCTGTTTCCTTACTCTCAACTCTTCTTTTAAACTTAAATTCCTTGGTCAATTCAAGTAAAATTCAAGACCAAATTTAGCTTGACTATGGTGCTTTAACACCCCCCCACCAGCTCAGTGCTGTTACAACACACGTTCATGTATCACGAAGAGCCTTGGGCACTGCTATTTGACTATGTGAAGTTTTCAATTATATGAAATATTCAACGATATGAAATATTTCCCAACTGATGACATTCTTCCTCACAGATGTGCCTATTAACCAATTTTGACAACTAAATCAGAGCAAAACAATAAAATAACCATGGCACTGATCCTTTTTCACGGAGCACAGAATTATAGATATAGAAAAGTCAGCTTTCTCCTGCATTCAAAAATACTAACTGGCAGACGCCATGCGTCTGTCCTCTGCTGCAGGCATTTGACCCTATTCACAGCAATTTAAATTCCTCAGCCCCACCTGAGGCACTGTGTCACATGGAAGGAAGAGGAAGCAGAAGCACTGCCACTCCTGGTAGGACACGCTGAAGATGGATTATTTAAGTAGGTTAACTCAGAATCTGTCACGAAACCAGTGCATATATCTTGGTTTGATGCTTATGATTAAGCTGAAGGCCAGATTTGTGGTCAAGAAAGTTCATCAGTTACTGGCAGTATACTCACTCCATGCATTCCTCTTTCTGCGTCACACTACAATTGCTGTCTCATTTTAATACAGGTCCTTCAGCAAGGAATTTCACAAATCTATAACCCTTTGCACAAGGAATCACCAGCTTTCAATTTTTGGAACCTGACTCCGACTACCTTGCCTGATAGCCCTGAATTCCTGTATAGAGAGGGCGAGCAAACAGTTGATCATGATGCTTTATATCTACCTACCACTTGTGATTTTGTAGATCTTCCCTTTCTTATCTCTTTTCCAGGCTGAAGTATCCCACCCTGAGAAGCATGGAAGGCATTAAGCATCCTTCGACCATCCCTTCTCTGCATCTTTCTATTTCCACCACACCCTTTTTGAGATACCAGCCCAGGACTGCAAGTCATGTTCAAGATGCCAGTGCACTGTTCATTTCTCCTGCAGCATAAAGGTGTTCTCTCCCTTTTTCTCTGTTCTTTTCCTAATAAATCTTAATTAGAATTATTGGAGAAATGGGATAGAAACTGTTTTTCAAATCTTTTCAATAATGCTAAGGCTAGTCCAGTCTATCGGCTAGCGCTGTATAGTTTTCAAGCAGCATATCGTATTTTCCTCCTGGACTTACCTTCTAAATTAATAGAAATTCTGTTAAGAGTTCGTTCTTCTGCGCTAACACATCTGGGAGGGCCACACCTCTGTGCAGACTAAGACGTTGTGGGAGCACAAGCAAGCTTGAGGGTGAACAGAAATGAGACTGAAAGAGCACAGAGCTGCACAGCCTTTACATCTAGTCTCACTACTGCCACGTTACACTACCTGGAATATGCCTGCTACCACATGATGCTGCCGGTGTGGAAACCCCCCCTAATCTCCCTATAATTCTGTGCTTGGCCTGGACTTCATTAAAGAGCAGGCTTGGGAGTGTGTGTCATGGCTCAACGTAGGTTTACAAAGCAGGGCAGATGCCAGTACTACTGTAGTTAGTCACTACCGGCAGCCTGGAGCTTCCAGAGATGCATACACTCACTGTGTGTTACACCCCACTCTGCAGATCCAACAGAGACAAATGCTTATCCCAGTAGCATTACAGGCTGTTGAATTTGAGATGAGTAAACTTAGGAAGTCTAAGAAAATCCCTTTGAATTGGTGACAAAAAGCTGGAGGAAGATTCAAGTCTATGACTTATTTATTGATGAGTGCTTTAGATACCTTTTAAGAACAAAAAGGACTTTGACAACAAAGTCTTCCACCATGAAAAGCGTATAAAGGAAAAAAGGCATTTTTTCCAAGCCTCTGATCTGCCAGCATCACCTGCTGCTGAAATGCATTCACTAACCATGGAAAAGGACAGAACAAACAAGAGAAATCACTTTATCCTGTGCGAGTCACAGAAGGAGAGCAAGGAAAGGTACTTCAGGTGACTATGAGGCAGTTCCTTAATCACATACCTGTTTGCTACTGAAATTAGGATGATTAGATGAGAGTTCTCTCCTCCAATGCAGAAGAAATCCTGCTGTCTTCTACCCACTGTGTGGGCAGAAAACCATCAGTGATTTGGGAGAGATTTTAGCTAAATAAAGGATAATTTGTTGCTTGAAAAGCCCTGAAATTATCTTTTACTCCCTGTTTTCATGTCCTGACAACTGTCCTTCCACTCATTATGTTTAAGTGTCCCAATTAAAACCCAAACCTGGCACTGTGGTCTTGACCTCGCTAGGGCCATCCCTTCTTCAGCATCACCGTTCAAGGTTCATTCCACAGCAATGGGATAAAGAGACCAACTGGACTATCTAAAGCCAGTGGCTGCAGGACCAGACCTTGTTTTTTCATTTACAGACAAAACTTTCTGATTTCATATGGCAAAATTTCTGGTTAGTTGAGTATCCTCAAAATGTTCCAAAGCTCCTCCTAAGAAAACAGCCATTTTCATGACAAAAGTGGTTACTTTTTAATATGTCTGTGCCACTTCTAATAAGCTAGAAATCATTAGGAGAAGAATAATTAATGGAAGGTAACAGCTACCATAAAAGTATTGTCCCAAATTTCATGTTTCCTAAAGTTTGTAATTTGATGTACATTAAATAAATAGTCTGGTATTTATTTATGGTATCTTATAATCATATATCTGACCAAGTACCATATCAACAGCCATTTTAGGTAGAAATTTTCTCCTTGGTCATTGGAGTGCTGCTGCTCCAAGACCCACATCGCAGAACTTCAGAGTATTTGATCAAATTGTCATTCTTTTTAAAACTAAGCCTAGCACAGCACTTAACCATCCTTTACCACATCGTGCTACCGGCCAAACACACTAAAGTGAAGGCATATCTCTTTCTCTCGATAAACACAACTATTATGTTCACTAAGAACCATCAATTCACATGCTCCAAGATAGTTTATACATGCAGGGACTAATCACTATTTTATGTATACTTTCCACAATTGCAGAGTCCCTTAAGTCTCTTCCACGCTGTATTAAGAGCCTCAGCCCACCACTAGCAATGCTGAGAATGAAGTTCAAAGTCCGCAAAGGGCAGGGGGCTGCTGCTGCATGCACTCTCCTCACAGAGGCAAGGTCTCCTGTAGCAGTTTTGGCCATTGTGCCTCATTAAATTTCCTGAATTTCCATGTTATCCTTATTACTTCTGATGCTCCATCTGGAAGCTAAATGAAAGTTTCCATCAAACCTCCAGGAGTGCTGGGGAAAGACAGCACTGACGTTGATCAGCCTGTTTAGCTCTCTATAACTGGATTGCTTTCAGACACATATGCTAGTAACAATTCATTTGCACTTAATTGATCACAATTTTGTTTTTCTAAGAGTCAAATAATGCTCAAGAGGCCTCATTAGTGGTACAGTACTACTTAATTCAGCTGACTCGAAAGAAATCTCTCGTGAAAAGGAGCAGGTAAGCTTAGTGTCAGTTTAAATTCCACTGAAGATAACAAAGGTTTATTCATTCAAGAAAATTTTCTTGGCAGTATGAAAAAGCACAGTCCTTCACCGTAACAGTCATAAGGCTTTCCTTAGATGGCAGGGGGTTAGTTCTCAGGTAAACATCTCTCATTTCTTTAATCTATGAATTCTTTTAAAATTTTTAACAAGAACAGTGAACATTCTTTTTTGTATTGTTGTCAGCATGGACGCAACCCCTCGTTTTCAAAAAGCTAACTATTGAGCACAGGTGTTGACAGCACAAGTCACACATTTGAATCTACCCTCTCAGGCTTCTTTTCAAACACAAAACCACAAAGGAGCTGAATCCACATTAAAAAAAAAAATTACAATAAAGAAAAAAAAGAAGAAAATCAAACAAAAGTTGCACTTGCTGTTCTTTCTTCTGCTGGAAACAGAAATTAACTTGATTGATTGCTTTCAAAGATGTGCAGTGCAGACAAGCAGGGATCAGCAGCAGAACTGAAGTGGGGCTAAACATAACCTGCCCATCAGACTGTTCTCAGCTAACTTGGCCAGAAGGTGAGGAGGAGTACCTGGGGGGTTCACATTTTGCTAAACTAGAGGTGTTAAGTTAGCTAACCACAGACAAACTCTAATGCATTCTCCTTCAGGATCCACAATCCAGATTTGCATCTCTAAGCATTCACACATCCCACACATTTTGGTGCTCTTACTATGTTGTCCCAGTTTGGAGATTTCTGGGGATTATTAAAGTATCGGAATATCTCTACCTTGCTCATGCTGCTTGCTTTAATCTCCAAAACCCCTGATTTATTACAGATGATTACATCCCATACTACACTTCATTACAGATTTGCTAAAATACTCACACTAAAGCAAGGTAAGAAAGTCTCCAACAGCCTCTCGCTTATTTGGGTTGTCTGTTTTTTGATTTAGTATTGGAAAATCATCCCTTGCACCTAACAACTATTTCCTTTAACAGCACAGAATCCCCCAAATTGACCAAAAAATCCCATAAAAATCCCAATCTTTTTAAATCCATGCACTCAATTCCAAAGAACATAAGTAATTAGAAACATGGTTCAAATGAAAGACATTGAATTACTGAGCTCAAACCTCTGTCATTGTTGTTCACTTCATTAGTCATCAGTTTATCAATTTTAACCTTCAAAATAGTTTCTCCATCTCCTCCCTTCCATTCAATAACTGTTCCCCAAACTCTGCTCCTCTGGGCAGTGGAAACTTTCTTCTAATTCCAGCCTATGCCTATTCATAGCCATTTTGTTCCCGTGCCAATATTGCTTTTTAGCGCAAACAGTTCTCTCTCCTGATGTATTTATAGGCAGGAGATTATCACATTTTATTTTGTTAAGATGAACCAAGGCAAGATCCACCAGAGGTTCTGCTGGTTTTTGCCATCTGTTACCTTGCCTTTGCAGAACCACAGCCAAAGAAATCAGACCAAACACCTTACTTTAACCTGGCTGCAGTCTGACTGCAGCCAACTTCAAGGTGGAAAGTAGACTATTCTGCATTACGCAGAATGCACGCTCAGGGCAGAGGTAACTGCTAAGATAAAAGTGAGCTTCTAGTCCTGGCATCAAAAGATGTTGGAGGACAACACCCTTTCATAAGCGGAAAAGAAAGCTGAAGGCAAAGAGAGAGGGGACATTTGGCCAAGCAGCAAGGACACTGGCCTGATTAGCACGTTGTGCTTCTCTGGAGTGGCAAAGGATCTGAATTTAGCAGAAGCCTCCATCAATCTGGTACAGAAACACTAGACCTAACCGGTGACACGCTGGGAAGAGACTGGGAAGGTTTGGAGAGAGCCGGGAAACAGATTTCAGAGACAAAGAAAGAACAGGAACAAAAGTACTGAGAATTAGGACCCTGGTCAGCCAGGGCCCTAATCCAGAGGCTACCCTAGGCTGTGCTGAACTGCCTTTAGTCAAACACCATCCCTGCTCATGAACACGGGAACCCTCAGCTCCTGTGACTGCAGCGGGGCCCCGTTCTCACTGTGTTCATTACAAGTGTCTGTAAATGGTCCCATGATTGTCCAGGTGTTGCCTGATGATTAAACAGGACCTGTGCAATCATTGAGAGCAAACAGTAAGTACAAGCCAGAGAGAGGAAAATGACTGTATTCCCACAGGGATTTTGAATCTCCAGATGGCACTGTAACATCATCCCAAAAAGCAGACGGTTCAGTATAATAGCAAATATGGTAACAGCTGAGTCAGTTTGCCTGCTGTGCATAATTACACATCCCATTGAAACCATGATTTACAGGCTACAAATGCTAAAGCTGCCCTTTCATTTCAATTCAAACCTTAGATATTAAAGCTTCATGCATATTGTGTGCATAGCAGCTAGAAAAAAACAGACTGCTTTGTTCTAACAAGCTGACATAAGCCAGGATCTCGCCAGCACCACCAATTAGAACCAAGACCTTCAGTAAGGTCTTCGGAAAGGGTTTAGGCCACAAGTTAAATGCACTTGTCTATCATTCTTGCCCTGGGAGGTAATGCCTCTGTACTGCAAAGCGACAGCAAAATTGGAAGGGGCTGGGGTAAATGTAGTATCTGCTGAGAGAGCTGCAAGGCTGGCTCTCTGTTTTGCATTGTAGCTGCTGGCACAGCCAGCTCCTCCTCTCAGCATGAAGCAGTGCTCTCCCACGCAGGATTCCCACCAAACACAGCAGAAGGCATTTCAGAGATCTTAGCAAAATGCAGTGGCTAACAACTCTCTAAGTTTAGTCTCCCACTGTAGGCAGTCATGTTGCATTATACTGTATGTTAACCTGTCAAGCTCTGTCTCAAAAGCCATATGATTTCTTGCTGACTGCCCAAAGCATGAAGAGGTTGCAGATTATTAGTCTTCAGTGGTTAGAAAACTTCACACATGAAATGAGCTCCTACATGCAGGAAAGACCATACAAATACAACACATGCACCAAACAGAGAAACACAGAAAGCTGAGCTGTGCCTTGGCCCGCTTAGGTGAGCGGTGAAATAAAGGATGAAGCCACTAGACTCCTTGGAGAAGTCAAATATACACTGGAGATGTGATTCTACCAAATTTCAAGAATCTGTCAAAAAGAAAGGTCCTTTTCAATGTCCAGCAGGTTTCCCCCAACACTGCCTGTATTTAAGGTAGGCTCAGCTTTCTTTTGGCAAGTTTTTACCCAATAGACTTGACTTTCTCTTTCCAAGACATTTCAGCATTTCACTGTGACAGTAGCTGAAATGCTGGAGCTGTCCCGCAAGTCAACTTAAAAACCACACTGTGTTTATTGAGCTAGCTGGATACTGATCTATTAATCATCATAAAAACATCAGCTGGCATGAACCACCTGGGTGACTAAATCCAGACCCTCAGGCAACCATGTAATGAGTATTCATTCTTTAAGGCCCATAAAACATCTGCTCCATGTAGCCTCAAAATTCCCTATCTGTTTCTATTTATTATGATGAGCCCCTAAGAGGCAGCAGCAGGTGACCTAGAAGCTGAGGCTCATGGAGCTGCAGACTCCCCGCTACCAGAGAGAATATGGCTGGAACGGTGGCTCACAAAGATGAGCACAGTGCTGTTCTGTGTGCACAGTCATGCCAATTGGCATGTTCCCTGCTTTCACCTAAATCTGTAGCTTCTCTCTTGTCTCCTCAGTCTTGGATCTCCTTTTACTTTTGATTTCTTTTTGGCTCCTGCCACTCCAGCCTTATATCCTACTTATGCAGGACCTTATAGTTCTAATGTGCTCTACTAACATCCTACTCCAAGAGCAAGATTCCTTCAGCTAGAGAAAGGATTACAAAAAAACCCCTAAACATCCTGGGCTGCTCATCACAAGCAAACAGTACTGCTCATATTTGAACATGGGGAACTGACAGTAAGAATTAAATAAGTAACCATAAAACTATTTTCAGGTTATCTTGAAGTACTGGTACAGTTGAGGAAATTGCAGTGTGCTTACTGACATTTGGGGAACAAATTTAATGAGAATATTATGTGCTCAATATTCATCCAAACCCATTTTTAGGCAGATTACGGCATCATAAATATTAGATGGAGAGGCAGATTTTGCTCATTTTGCTGTGGTAGGGGAGATCTAGTACAGAACTACTAATGTTTAGCGGGGGGATGATACAAAAACGCAGCTGAGCAGTTGAGGCTGAGGCTGGTGGGGACATACATACTAGACTCTGTTCGCTGCAGTATTGTTCTTACATTTTTAAATCCTCTGTAAAGCACTTGAAGTTCTCTTTTAGTGAAATTGGTTTGTGCTTCAAGCTGTTCCAGTCCTTCGGGTCTATGGCACACTGTAGTCATTTCTAATTCATCTTCAATTTTATCTGAAAGAGAAGAGAGGAAAATATTTATTTTGGTTGTTACCTTTGCCCTATTAACATGATGGATAGGACAGACTGGATTTCAAGAACAATAGAGAAAAAAGAAACCATCAAACAGAACTGATCTGTATAACTTTTTTCAACCTCTTGAAAGTAAAATAAAAGCCATAAGAGTAAGACAATAGATCACATTTCTTACTGGGCTGCCAATTAGCTCCCCATTCACAAAGCCAAAACTGGTGATGAGAACAGAAGGCAGGCAGCAGATATGTTGCTCCAAAAAGGCAACACCAGGTATTTTTTATCTAAATATTGAAACAGCACAGAGGAATAGGCCTTTCAAAGTACTAGCTTTAAAGAAAGCTGTGCAAATATAAGTGAGAGAGCAGACGTGCTTAAGCATATTAGACAATGACATTATACTGAGGGTAAACAGTGAGGGAAACTCATCTGTGTGCTAACCAAAAACCTTGCTATAGAGACACTAAAGGTCACTTTAATCCTAGGAGAAATTCAAATGATGTCCACAGTTGCTGAATCTGGAATGAAATCAGCCTGCATTTGCATGGGCTTTTTGGGGAAACAGATAAGAAATGAAAAATACTTATGTACATTTTACTCAAGAGAATGTTCTCCCACAAGGAAGAAAAATACTCAAGACATATCACAGCCTGTATTACCATAATCTCACCTCTTTTCTGATGCATGTTTTCACCTGTCAAGCTCATTTCCCCAGTAGCGTAAGTAACGCCCAAGTAAGTACAGATGCCTAGCGTACATATGTCAGTTTGAGATTCTCTAAACTTCAAGGACCAGATGCAGGTTTCAGCTGACATGAAAATCCCATCTACATCCAAAAGTTGCTTGGCATAAAAGCTAACACTCCCGTTATAATCAGAACTGCCCAATTTATCTCCTGTAAAAATGTTTTAAGTCATTGGGCTCAAGTACAATATAGTGATTCCTGCTTTTGCTGAAAGGCAAGGATTTCACAAGAAACGTGCAAGGAAATGGAGTCACTCTAAACAAAGGAAAGGCAGCAATTCAGAGCAGACTGGCTCAGTGAAAGAACAGACCAAAGCTGTATTTTCATAAGTAATTCTGTATATATATATATGAATGTTATTAAAGGATCACACACATCAATGAGTGATAATGGTTAATTAACATTGGTTCATTGTTTCAGTATTAAGAAATCAGTTTGAAATATTGGTGAATTCAGTCATCCTCCTAATCCACTGTACCTGGAGTTTCACAGTCAGCATTTGTGGGGCTTGAGCAGTGGAAATACATGCCTAAATACTAAGCTCAAGGTCCCTTGCACAGCAAGGGAATAAAGGTAAGAGACTGTAACAGCATAGGAGAGAAAAAGAGTATCACGACCATTTATGATGCAGAAAAGAATTACTGAAATCTGGCAAGTGGCCAGAAGAGGCCTGAAGGAGACACCTTCTCCACACAAAGGGAAAGCAAAGGGTCTAGAAATTATATCTCCTGTTCGAAGAAAGGCGATGGAAAAGGATGTCTGATACAGGAAAGAGAACAGATAATGTGAAATAAAAGGGGATAAGCCATTTTCTTTGAAAGAGAACACATACCACCAAATGAAGGAATGCAGAAGCAGCTGTGGAGAGAGAAAAAAGGTGGGGAAGAAATTCCTTAGAATGAGGGAAGGGGAATGAGTGGTTGGAAAAAAGGAGAGGAAATCCATTTAGAAGGGAGGCAGGTCAGGGAGACTTATCACTAATCCATGCATTGCATAGGAAATACCTTTTTGTTTACCTTTGGTTAACTGTAAGTTACCTAAACTCCTTTACAAAATGCAAATAACCCCCAACTCCTCTCCTGCATTTCCCTGCGTCCCCCCATGCAATAAGCAGTTTACACATGACCCTTCCCTGCTGTCCCTCAATGCAGTATTTACACATGACCCTGACAGTCATTTCATTCTCCCACAGAAGGCCATACATTTTGTGCTGTGCCGTAGATAAGCAAGTTAGGCCCTGAGTCTTTCCCTGCTCTGTAATCAGTTAAACAAACCCAGCTTTTCACTGACATTTCCTATTGACTGAGTCACTCTGAAGTGCTTTACAACTTCAGTCAGTGTAAAACAGAAGTCTAAAATACCGGCCACCTAGTCTTTCTATCCTATAACATAATTCAACAGGGAGGTGTGTGTGGAAATCCATGCAACCTCATGTATCTGGTGAGGCTAAGGAGGGAAGCCAGCCTGTTGGATTACTCTCATACTTGGTTTTATTTATGCTCCTACAATGCAGAGGTTCACATGGTTTCTACAGAGGCAGGAAAGGTCCAGCTGAGAAGAGTCACACTCTTTGTAAAAGCATTTTGATATGACAATTTTTATTGTGAGTATTTCATTTGCCATATACTTTTCCCACCTCCTCCTTAAGCAACCCAGTTTTCCAAAACACTTCTTGGAATTTGTGTTAGTACTCTAAAAACCAAATAATTAAAGAAAAAGGTCTCGCTCACAGAAAACTTGCTTTATAGCTCCATGATAGCTTCAAACAAAATCTTCAGAATTACAGCTCAAAACTCAATAGTTCTTTGGCTTATCCAGATATCCTTTATATAAGCAGATCCAAAATTAGGGTCTTGGAATTGTTTTTTCAAAATATTCTTGAATAAAATATTACTTGGTGAACATTGTAATTTAATAATGATATATTGTCTTTTGACAACACTGGCCTCATTCAGTGAATCATTATTTCAAGAGTGCAATTCATCTGCTTCAGTTTGTCTTGCAAGAATAGGTTTTTCCAACAATCAGTTCACGAGCTTTGGTCCCACAGGGCACATATTTCTATGTTAAAAATAAGCCAGATTATTGTTGTAGATTTGATTCTACTTCCCATGCTGAGAAATGTGGCTCTTTTCTTTATAACAAACCGCAGAAAGGAAATTATGAAAAATTCATCCCTTTCAAAGGGACACTATTTCCCCCCTTCTGTTCTCTATTCCAGAACCAGCATTAATCTCTGCCTCTGAAGAGGATCTGATGGTTCCCTGTGGGTTAATCCTTTCATCTGCTTCCTTTTTGTTTCCCAAAGGAAATATTTTGAAACTTAGCAAAAAATTCTTGTGAAGCTTTAGATTGGGCCAAGGGGGCACTCAAAATGACACCAGACCAACAATTTTCCAACAAACACACTCTAAAAATGGTAGAAATTGTTCCTTCAGTAGAACATGCCCCAGTGCAACAGAGCAGTCCTGGGCATTTCTTGGAACCTCACTACAGAAAACAAATACAAGAAAGACTTCTTAGGTCATTTGGCCTATCCGTTGCCAACAAAGAGCTGTTTTCCATGGTGTTCCATGATAATATCTGTTTTAAAAGATAAAACTTATTTTAGGAGTAACTACTTCACGTTAATAGGCCTCACAGATCAAACGTTCCCTCCCCAGTGTTCATCAGATATTTACATTTAAACTTTTCTCAGTTGTCATCCCACATTCAGAGATTTCCCTTCAGCAACATCTCTGTTCATCCCTCCTCCCTTCCCGGCGAAAGCCCGCAGTGGGCATTGCACAGACCTCGAAGCAGGGGGTACCTGTAGCCAGAGACCTAAGGACACAAACTGCTCTTCTGTGCAAATTGATAGTTTCCAACTCAATGGTCCCCACCTCCCACAAAGATTTTTTGGCCATTATTTGTTTCCTTTCAGTGTTTTCTCTTAAGTCAGCTCTTTTAAATCTTTTTCTTCCATTCTCTGACACCCTATAAATTAACCACAGTAACCTCAGTGGCAAAACAGGAGACTGTCACTTCCTCATCTGCCCTTGCCTTTTGTCATGTATACTGTATTTCCTCTTATTTACATTTTCATTATCACACTGACTCAGTCCCTCCCAGCTCCTCAGGCATGTCACTGTATGAAATATGAGCCCCTGCATTTATAAACACTGCAATTTTATTAAACCGAAGCTCACTTCATGGTGGTGAGTACAAACAAAAGTATGTATGCGTAGACACACACATGCAAATTTAAAGTTTTGTTAGGAAAGCATGATAAGATATTTTATCTAATATCACGTTCTTCCTCAGTTTTGCCTTGTTTACAGCTGAACATCCCAAGAGATGTGAGAGTGGGGAACAGGCATGCCACTAGTTTAAAGTTAATTTTCTTCTCCTTCAATTTGCAAGTGCACAAACAGACCTAGGGACTGACTGCAGACACTGCAAGGGACGCGTGTGGTCACCTCCCCAGCGCAGGTGACACGTGTGACCAGCCGCTGGTGCTCACAGCATCCCTTTGCAGCTGGAACTAAGGCCCTGCTCTGCTCCACGGAGACATTTACCTCAGGGTCTGGGTACCATCCAGCTGGCTAGTGAGAACTTGAACCTCAGCAAATAGGTCCAAATTTATTATTCGGATCTCAAAGTATACATTGGGGGGGGGTATCTGTGCTTACCAATTAGGTGGACTCAGTAAATAAAGCAGGAGGTTTCTCCTGCTTGCAGGTACTGATAAAATAAAAAAAAAAAAAAATAAAAAAATATCAATCTCCAGCACTTGTTGAAATCATCCCTGGATTAATCCCTTCCATACCAGACAGCTCCAGCAAGTTTTTGTCCTGGGCTTAAGATTGCCTGTACTGTTTAGCCAGTGCAGAACATGCTTGTGCATTTGCTTAGCTGTTTTTCTTGCCACGTGTTCAAAACCAGGGGAATGAGAAGTAGCGCTTCCTGATTTAGAATTTGTCTCTGGCCATATTTTTATGGCTGTTCTAATAGCAGGGTATGAAGTCTGGGTCTGGTAAAAGCACCTGAGGTAATCTTACTCCAAAGTAGGTCTAGGTTACAATAATTACTTAATATTGCATTTTTGTGCAACACATCATCTCTATTTGCTTAGCCCACAGGATAGGCAGATTTGTGTATCAGACAAGATAAATAGTGGCTTCACTTTACAAAGAAAAATAATCCTGACATGTACACGCATATTTTATGGATTATTCCTAATGAAAGATACTGTATTTCATTTCTCTACTGCTTGCTCAAGAGCAGAGAATGAATTTTCATTAGAGTAAATCAATATTTTAACTGAACTCACTTTGGAAATTACTTAACGAGGTTTGGCTTAGACATCCCTTCATATTTGTTCTAATTTTACCTTTTGTTATCTTTACAGTTTGAAGATTCCCATACTTACACTGCCTGCAAATGGCCCTGTGTTTCACTGCTGTAAACTTCGCTCAACAGAATTCGCATTTCTCCAAGTGATAAACTGAAGTAATTTAAGCCTATTCATGTAAAAGCTGTCTTGTACATCTACATGCCTACGGACAAAATTGTTTCATCATTGAGGAAAACAGATTTTCAACCACAGCTGACTACTGCTTTCCATCACAGAACTAGGCAGAGGGACTCCAGGCCTTCCCTTATCCATTGTAAATACAAGAAATCTGCTGGTTTTGAAGGAAAACAACCTGCTCCAATATTTCACTTTTCCAGATCTTTCTGTTCCATTGGACACAGGCACATTTATCTGCCGTGTTATAGACAATATTGTTTCATTGTCAATTTATCTTAAAAATGCAGGGGTAATGTAACACTACATGACAAGTTACATGAACAGAGGCACTGCCCAAACCCAGTTCCCAAAGATGTCGAGCCCCAGTCAGGGCCTTGCCAGCAGTAGCAGCAGTGGACATGCTGCTCTCAGCACAGAAGGCGAGTCCTAAAATCCTCTGTTGACAACATTTCTTCTAGTATTCATGTTAGCGACCTATTTCCACACAAAAATGCCTAATCAATATTCTTCAGCTCCAACAATCCTTTCTTCATAAGTGGAACAGGTTAAATTGGTCACAGACAATGCCAAAGTTGTATTTGTATACTACAAAATAGGAAACAATTGTGTGTTATTAACCAGCTGCTTTCTCGGTTCTGGTTTTAAACAGCCATTGGGCCCAAATTCGTTAACCTGCCCATCCTTCCTCTTGCTGGCAGCTGCCTCTACACAAGCAACATCTTCCACAAAAGCACAGGGTTGGTTTTGCTGGGCCAAACTCCCTTGTGAAACACAAGAAACAAACACCTTTCCCACAGCAGCCACCTAAAGTCCTGCAGCATTTCCAGCCCTCCAACCTATGTGCCTGGCAAACGAGCAATAGCAATGTCTCCTTACATCACTAGGGCTGGCCAAGGACAAGCCAAGGCCTAAAACACAGTTTAAATGGAGGGTGTAAATGATGATTTAATAAAAATGCAAATGACCCTGTCCCCTGCTTCCAAAGGCTGCAAGGTGAAACTGTGTAATGCCAGGTTCCACGGCTAATGGGAGGATTTTGAAAACATGTTGGTTATAATAAATTCACTTTTTGTTAAAGAAAAAAATCAGGATGTAAAATACAGCTAATGTGCCCAGTGTTGCTTGTACAACTGACAAGCGTTAGATGAAATGGGTAATTTTACAAATACAGCAGAAGGGGATTAAATTATGTGCAAGAATTATTAGACTGCATCTTATTTTTATTAAAAAAACATTAGCTATATTTTAGGAGCAGACTCAAAGAAAAAAATTAACTCCAGTTTATCCACGACATCTTTGAAATTAATCTCCAGACAGAATACTGGCTTGGGCAGATCTCGCAGGAAATAGATCCTGCCTGTGGGAAAACAACTGCAAATATTTGAAAATTTCATGAAGAGAAATAACTAAAGGCCTGAGTCCATAAATGGTCATTACAGCAGAAAGTTATGGGAATGGGAGTCAGGCGCGAGCTGTATTACTGATGCAGACCCCGCACATTAGTTTCAGCGTTCCCTCCCCTTGGTGCAAGCAGGAGTTGCAGGAAATACTGCTTTTGTGAAGTCCGTTGAGGTCTGTGGCTCCACAGTCCTGAGCCAAAGGCAGCTATCAAGTACAGCTCCACTATCTGAAGTCAAAATATTCCTGTGCAGTTCCATGTGCTTCCACCAAGACAAAATCTTAAGTGTTAGCCTGGGTGTAAGCGACCCCACCCGGCAAATATTTGCAAATCAACAAGGCTAGCATGGCAGAATGACAGCTCAGCTAGAACTTAAAAACATGTATATGCACATCTATGAATCCTAAAAAAGGGTAAAGTAAAATCTGCTCATGGCAAACATCAATAAAAAAATGGCACTAAGATACCTACTGATGTATCAAATATTAACCACATTTAATTAAAACTGAACAGTCTTTTATTGATAAATTATTATTATTATTATTATTGCCTAGCTGGAGAGATCAATTTCCAAACCAAAGGGACCCTCTTCCAGCCAGTAAGACAAAAAGGAACTGATGCCTCCTTATGCAATCCCTTTTCCTGAAAGGATTTTTTGACTCCTTCAGGTCCATTTTCACCATTAAATCAGCAACATCCAATTCATTACACAGTCAAGCTTAGCAAGGTTGTTCTGCCCAAGCCAACCTCCAACACCACCAGTGGCAGAGAAAAGCTACATGAAAACCCATGAATGTATAAAATTCTAAGATTTAATAAAAAAACCCAGACTTTTAAGATTTCTCGGCCAATCATTGCAACGATCTATGCAAAACATCATGTATAAATACTTTCCTCCGCCTCTATACTCCTTTAATTAGTTCACAGTTGTACACAGGGAAGCTAGAACAAGGTTATACTCTGAAAAAGGAGGTGCAGGAATAGTTGGAGGCCACAGGTACCTCCAAAATGTCTTTCTGGTATGCAACTAAGACCAGGTACAATGATCTGAATATGAACTACACAATGTTAAGTTTGACTTTATATGTTTCTGCAGACACTATATTAAGCCTACTCATCATTAGAAATAGCTTCACTGTGGCCATTCCCAGGGTAGGAGACAGCAGAGTGTCCTTCCAATGCACTGGACCTTACCTGGGACCGCACTTTCTTTTCAATTTTCCTTGCACATTCCCACCTATCTGTAGCAACATTTATAAGGGAAGCAACTTGTTAAAACAGGTGGAATACCACTGAAAGCTTGCTGGGTGCTTTGCTGTTTTTCCATGGGGATGGTGCAGAAAATGTGCTTTTGGGACAAATGCTTTCCTCCAAGCAGCTGTTCAAAGGTAAATTTGCAAAAAAGCCTCACTAGAAAGGTTAGAAAAATCACTTCCCTCCAATGATTTTTTTGAAAATTCCCACTAATACCATCTCAAAACCTTACGAGGAGAGTACCTGAACTGCTAAGTGCTTGACAGCATGTCATGCAATAAAGCACTGCACACAGTAGGACTTGGAGGTTGAGTAAAAGCTGGGACTGCTTTCATCAGAGGGGACTTGGCTGCTCCCCAGGCTGCAGCCTTACCCAGAACTGGGCCATTTTCAAGCACCCTTAATTTTGTTTGCTGCCAGTGTGGAAAGTGAGAATAAACTCAGCCAGAGGGAACCTGTTTCTTAGGTCACAAAAACTTTTGCTACAAAAATTATATGACTGATAGAGTCAAACTGGTTTAAATTTTACCTCTCTGATACACGTAAAACCATCGGGCAGGGTCTAGGAAAAAGTAAGAAAAAAATTTAACAAAAGGAAAGTGACAACCATACACAGCTTTGTCTTTTGTTAATTTTAAGGCGACATTGGATGTGTCCTGCAAGTGCTATAGGGTCCCCTTTCCCAGTGACTGTAGGATTGTTTCCAGGTGTATTTTACTTTTTTTTTCCTGAATTGCATCTTTCCCTTACCCTGATGGGCAGGAAAGGGAATCAGAGCTTGCTGTCCCCTGCATGACCACGAAACTCTGGGCAACACACGAAGGAAAGCATGCATGCAGTCATGCACCCATGCAAGCATCCATGCATACAGCAAGACAGCAATGCAGCAGTCATCCTTGCAATTCTGACAAGTGATAAGGAGGACTTTGCATGCAATTTTGAAGTCTGCTTAGGGACAACAAGAGGAGCCCACAGCCTTCTGCTTCCTCTCCACAGCTTAGCTCTTTGACAGCTGTAGAGATAAAAAAGTGATTAGTAAGAGTGAAGAAGTCTCAGGTGGTCCGGAGGACTCTAACCGGTGCTCTTTTGCAGTCACTTCACTTGCAACATGGTAATTTTGTACTATTCTCACATCTGCTGGGAGAAAAGTTCATTAGCACATTAGGTTAAAAGTAAAAAAAAATATAAAGTTCTTCTAAAGATCTGTATGTGGTTTCTTATGGCATCAGTTTCTTTTCACTGGAGAATTGGGTACACAGCATGATCTACAATAACCTGCAAAAGGCACAAGAGTTTTGGTCAGATTATTACTACCTGCAGCTCCCTGGCGCTACCTCCAGTGTGGACAGCTCCTGCCCTCACTCCATCTGGCATCTGCTTCCTTCATTTCCATGTAGGCACTGCCTCCACCTGCCCAAACCTTCCGAAGCACCCTCTCCCCACACCATCAGCTCTGCAGTATCTCGCCTCCTGCTACTGCTGCAGCCCGGGAAACACCAGTGAGCCCACCTGGTTTCCTCTCACACACCAACCAGCACATTTTGCCCTGCAGATGCTGCATCTGTATGGCCCCAATGGGCAACTAGGATCAAGCAGGCACCAAAACCGAGCAATTCTCACTGCTGCACGCTCCCCTGCAGAAGGGGTTACAGGAAAACCGGTGCATGAAGACTGCCAAAGCTCACGCTGCACATGTTGCACCACTCATTGGTTTTCTCTGGGAAGACAGAGAACACCAAGACCTCATTGTCCAGCTAAATCAGTCTTGCAGCAGCCCATCTCTGCAAACCCTCGTAGTGCCCCTGAGCAGGCTATGACCAACTTGGGGCCTGTACTTTAAATCTTAAGGCTGAGAAATTCCACTATTAATTCTTTAAAGCCATTAAATAATCTTCATGCTTAATACTTTCCCATTAAATAAATAAATAAATAAACAAACTCTCATGTTTAGAAGTGAGCATACATTTTCCTTCTGGCACATCTGAGAAGCAGGTTTACACGCAGCATACACATTACAACAGCATTAAGCTACCGGAGGGGTTGAACCTCCCTTCGTTATTCTCACTCTGAGTTTTTTTACTTTCAGCTTGTTCTTGACAGATGCACAACTAGATGAAATGAAAAAGTCTTCTGGGACTAGATGTTAAACTGGTGCAGGAATGTAGAGAATTTACTGTCCATTGGAGAATTTAATAAACTATCTGTCCACAGACAAAACTGGCAGAAGTACATATTAGAACATGGCTTCCCAACAGTATCACCTACACAATGAGAAAATGCCTGGTCAGATAGTATGGCTGAGTTGTGGTGCTTGGCCTCGCTAACTCTGGTTCAGCTGTTCTCAACCTGAGGAAGGAACAATTAAAAAAAAAACAAACCAAGGCCAACACAAGAAAACCACAGCAGATGCTCCAGTTGGCTGCAGCAGTGCAAGAGCAATGGTGGTACCAAGGACAATCACATGAGATGATCAATAACAGAACGGACTCCTGAACGACTGACTACTCACACAGGGGTAGCATTCACAGATTAGCAACTACAGGTACCTCCAACACTTTCTCCTTGCAAACTAAAACATCAAGGATACTTCCAAGAGAAGCTGGTCTCAAGAGCAAAGAGCCTGCAACCAATCATGGATTTAAATCGTATACATAGACCGCAACACATACTAGAGACAGAGCAGTACATACTAGGAGCTTTACTGAAAGCATATAAAAACAATTAGTAAAATTTAATAAACTCCATGGTAACACACGCAGTATGATCACATGACTTTTAAACCTTCTTGATCCACGAAGACAGGTTTGCAATAAATAAAGAGAACGAGCAGGTTGCTTAAAGAGGCCCTGAATCTCTACTGAAACAAAAGGTGTTGAACCATTAGCCATGAAACCACTCACCGCCAGCAAAATCCCACCTTGCTGGGTAACCTGAGGACAGGAAAGAAAAAGTCTCCCACTTCAAGTCTAATGAGGATAGTTCTAAATTTGCATGTTAACACAAGCTGCAAACCAATTTCCACTGATGAGAACAAAGAAATGTAAATGCAGTCATTAAAGAAAGCATGATAAGTGTCCTGATTTAGTAAGGGTAAAATCAATGAATAAAAAGAGCTAGAGTACATGGAGACGTCCCACTGTAAATATTGGGCTTGAAAAGATGAAGATGCATCAGAGATGATTAACAGACAGCAGGAAGACAATAGATGCACCGCAAAAGAGAAAGATGATCTATTTTTCTTTATTGGATAACCTTGTGGGTTATCAAAACTTTACACTGCACATAATACCTTCTGGATACAAACATTTTCTTTTCCTCTTTACGGAGATAAGAAAAAAGTCCTTAAAAAGAGAAATTGAAAAAAGCTTCTTGTAACAATGCATTTTTCTTCATTGTATAAAAAAACTTCAGAGTCAACTTCCAAAGGTTCAATTGAAAATTAATTCCCTTCCAGTTTATTAAAATTACAAATAAGGTTTTTTTGTTCACAGTCTACATTTTTTGTTTAACACTGAATTGCTCTTTTTTGAAAAATGGCACTTTTCAATAAGCTCAACAGAAAACTTCTTAATCATCATCTCAAATTCATATGCTTATGTCTACTTAGCACAAATAGGAGAAAGTATAATGTTACCAGCACTTATAAAACCTCTTCCTAAAACATGCAGAAGCAGTTACTAAGGACTTGATTATTTGTTATCTCTTCCAAGAGGAGTCTTACGGGTTTTGTTTTGTTTTCTTTCCTAAAACCCCCAGGTTATGGATTACTCTCTAGGCAGTGAAACAGAGCAATTTCTGAGCAACTATGGATCAATGAAAAGGAAAATAAATTAGCAGAAACTCAATTCATCATTTCTGAGAATTACTTCAAACATGCCAGCTCTTTGTCTACAACAGCAGGTAATGCCATAACCAAACCATCAGAGCTGTGTGCATGGAATGGGACTGCCCACCTGTACCTAACCAGGGTGAGCTGCAACACAACTGTGTTAGTGAAGCCAATATAAGACTCTCTTTAAACCGTATAAATCCAGCTGCATTTTTCAATGTAATTTGACTTAAAATATTTTCTTTCCTTCACAGGCTAAAGAAAGATGAAGGAAAACCAAACACAAACATTGCAGGTACCAGAACAAGATGCGGAAAGCAGTGATAGAAAAATGGAGAAAAGAAAGATTGAATTTGCAGTCGTATAACCCCATTTCAGCAGTAGCATCTTAATAAGATGCTTACATTTCCCCTGTGACATCTGCATGGCAGCATTTTTCATTTGTGCCCAGGCCCAGTCCTCTGAAAGTTCAGAAGCTATCTGAACAACAGTGGATTTTGTGTCATTGCAATTGTGCTGGCCAGGAAACCATTATGCACCTCAACATTAGTGTTTGACTTTTTGTATCATCTGAGAAAATAAACATGGCAGATAGTATTTATTTCAATGCAAAACCCAATTCTGTTGTAGAGCAGAGTTCTGGTACAAGATAAAAAGATGGTATTTTCCTTTTCATCGTACTTTTAGGAAACCAGAGTACTAGACTGCTGTAGGGTGTGATGAGATATTGAGTTGGCCAAAGGTACATCTGCTTAGGTCTCGTTTACCAAAAAAGCTTTCAAAAATCAGAAGGCAGGTTTTTTACACCCTGAATCAGACTAATTGTTTGTTTAATAGAATGAATTTATAGGAACTCAATAGAATAGCTATAAAATGGCTTTATGCACAAATTCCTTGCTGCCAAACATACAGAAGGGATGGGTGCTTAGCTCCAGGATTGTTTTCAGCCAGCTCTGTTGTTTTCTCAGTTACAGGAGCCCCAACACAACCCCCCTGCCCTCAGGGAGAAATAGTTTTGTTTCATAAACATAATAGAGCCAGTGGAAAAACTACTGTCCTGCACTTGTGTCACATCTGTCATGGAGGTGGCATGTAAAAGCCTACAACAGGAGCCTCTCTGCCCTTGGCAGGTTGGTTAGGTCAACTGAAAAACTTCCTCAAATTATGTGATCTGCTGGTTCTCTGAGTAATTGGGGGGGGGGAATGTATAAATAAAGATCTCAGTACCTGCCCAGTGGTGCTCGAGGGCAAGCTGCATGCTTGCTGCAGCACTGGAAGCAGTAAAGGCTCCTCTCACCATGTCCTCCCAGCCAAAGCTGTTCCAGCTCCTACACCTCACAGAGAGAAACCTCTTCTTTCTCTGCAGGTCTGAGCAGCACTTCCCTCCTGCCTGCTGCAGGTACCACTGGCTGGTACTGTCCAGCTGGACACAGCCTCCTGCTTAAACCAGACACCCCGCCCCAGCCTTCCTCCCGACTTGTACAAAGAGTCTCTCAGGATGGTTTTTGTTCACTTTAACCTTACTCACTTTGGAGTGATCTCATGAGTAGCGTAGTATCAGCACATTCCACTTCTCTGCGTTAATCCTTACTGTGTAAAAAAGTCACATCCACAAATAAAGGTTCATGTTACACTACCCACACTGGAAAGCGAGAAGAGTACTCTTGATTATTTTTGTGCTTTGTAAGAAGCATAGTACATCACTTGGTATTGATA